CCCCTCCCCAGAGAAGCCCATCCTGGTGCTTCTCCCCCACCCCTTGACTCAGAACTCGGGTCTGACCCACCTACACCTCCTACAGTATTCGTGCTAGGGGGTGCGAAAATGTAACCATTGACACCAGGGGTGAAGATCAGGGCCGACTGATCCAGTAGGCACAGTGCCTAGGGCCCACCATTCGTTTAGGGGCCCACGACACTGTTTTAATTTCTTTGAAAATCAGAAGGAAAAAAATAATGAACTTTTAGGGCCCAAGAAAATGTTTTAATTTTTTTCCTCACATCAGAAAAAAATTAAACTTTTAGGGCCCACAAAAATCTACTGAATTTTGCCTAAAACAGAAAAAAAAGATGAAGTATTTAAAGTGATATCAAAAATAATTTTTAATATTTATATTATGGTGGGAAGGGCCCACGAAAGCAGGATCTGGTGAAGATCCTCAAAAGCCACGACTTGCCTGGATCTGGCCTCCAAGGCTCACTGCACCCCAGGCTGGTGATCCAGGCCCTATCCCCCTTGCCACTCTGGGGCTGGAGCACACAATCTACTATGCTGGGCCCCACGAAGCTCTGGTGTGTGCAGAGGTCTCTTTCTGAAGTCTCTTCCAGCCCTGAGATTCTAGGATACATAATTACATGTATTTTAACTCCTCCAATATGTGCCTCCCCTGGGAACACAAGCTTTTAGCTCCAAGCAACTATGCATCTCCTTCTCCACCCATACAGTATTCACCCACCCTTTCATGCATTCATGTACAGTTTATACACAGGGACCTGCTTCCCCTTCATTATCTTCCACAGTGTGTTTCAGCTTTACATGGATATGAAATATCTAAAGGCATTTTTCACAGAAGTGTCTGGCCAATTCTAGCCTTCTGCCAGTGTTGTACATTGTGCTGGACAAACAAGCAATGGACATTTGCCACCACCAATCTAAGAGGCAGCTGTATTTCAGAAGTGGAAAATAAAATGTATATGGTAAATGTACATTAATAGAAAAGAGAGTCCTTTCCTTTAATGTCCAGAAAAGACATACCAAGCAAAGAGAGAACAAAAGGACAAATTACTCAATGTCCAGAAATATTTTATTATACAATGCACCAATGTATAATTTATTTTGTATTAGCAGGATTTAGAAATTAATAAAAATAAGCATGTGATATAATTAAAGACCAACCGTGAGCAAAAATAGGATTTTAGGTATTCAGAGCACTGAGAAAGTGGAAATCACAGTAAAACTAACAAGAAGGAGGACAATTTTTTTAAAGGGAACTTTCAAAAACAAACATTTATGGAGGACACTGCATAGCACAAATTTCTAAGTCCAAAAATGCTGCTCACATTCCCTCTCCCCCTTTACAGGTACATATTCTTTGGAAGATTAAGGCCTTGTTTTCATTGGGCTTTATTTTGGAATAGCTTCTGCAGAGTATTCTGTGCTATTATAGCTATGCCCATCAATTTCCCCAGTGTAAAAAAGCCTGAAAATTGAGCCCTTTCAGCAATCCATGCATTCTTCAAGACAGATTCACATCTTCTAACAAGCTCTGCAATTTAAAAAAGTCATGAGAATTTCCTTGGTTCCAGTGCCACTCTTTTTACAAGTGACATCAAACAAAGGAATGCTCTTTCACAAATTTAGTTGTTTTTAGAGTTCTATTAGGTGTTAAAGCTAATAAGGACATTATATTTTAGAAAGCCTGAGAGGATCTTCAAGTTAACAATTCTAAAAGAGAGACCAAGTATTTAAAAACCAATAAAAGAAAGAAGAAAATGAGCTCTATTATCTTGTTTCCAGAACAGTGTTTCTTAAACTGTTCTGAGGCAGTCGGAGGTGTGCCATGGAGAACAAAAGAATTCAAAATGGCCACCCTTAAAGGGGCAGGCAACCTTTTTTGTTTTGTTTTTGCTCAATAACTTTCCCTGATCCTTTTTTTCCTTTCCGCCCCGAACTAAAAATTTTGCTCAATAACTTTCCCTTGACCCTTTTTCCCCCTGACCTTCCCCCCCCCATCTCAACAAAAAATCCTGGGTGTTCCCCATAAAAAAAATTTATTGTTTGGTGTTCCTCGGTATTAAAAGGTTTAAGAAACACTGTTCTAGAGCTTAAGCGTCAGTGGCATTCTCTGCAAACACCACATTTTTTAATGAGCACTTTGTAAAATAAAGAAATACCACTTTAAAGATATTTTTTCCTAACTAATTCAAAACCAGAATAATGAATTTAACAGTGGTTTTACCAAGATACAGTATTTGAAAATCTGCCTGACCCTATTTAATATTTCTTCCTTATTTAATACTTTATCTATATAACATCTTACTTCCTTAAATGTGGTTTCTAACTGAAACACACAGGACCTAATTTAGGAAGCTATTTAAGCACCTGCCTAATAGAACAGTCTCATTGACTTCAATGTGATCATTCATGAACTCAAATACCTTGCTGAAGCAGAGCCTTAGTGCCTGATCCAAAGCTCACTCAATGGATTCAAAGTCTTCCAAGTAACACAATAGGCTTTCAAATAGATCCTAAAAAGGCCCCTTGAGATACTAGGAGTGCGTTTACCTACCACCTTAAACTTCAAATAAGTGCAAATTGCGTATCTTATTTCGAAACTATTTTAAATGGGCTTATTTTGAAATTTGGTGCATCTACACAGAGCCAAATTTCAAAATAATGCACTATTTTGAGCCATCCCTTATCCCTCGCTCAACAAGGCTTACAGGGATGGTGAAATAGTGTGCTTGTTATTTCAAAAAATATTTCAAAATAACGGGCAGCTGCTGTAGATTTGGGATAGCTATTTCGGGATATCTTTGGTATCCCAAAATAGCAGTGCAGTGTAGATGTACTCTAGGTAATAACTTGTTAAATGTATTAATACTTAGCTAATGGTGAATAAGGAAAAATGCTGACATGATCAAAAGGATTTCAATGTAAACAATGTTTTAAAAATGTTATTTATAAATAATTGTTCAATTTTACTAATATTTTACCTTCTCTATTCCAAAGGCACTCAAGCACAATCTGTCTCAGTATACTGAAATGGTATCTATCCTAGTTCAGCAAAAATCTCAGAGGGATAGCTGTGTTAGTTTATAACTTAGAGAAAAGGCTCATCTCATATGAGGTAAGGGTCCACCCACACAAAGCTCTTTGCTGGACTCAGGACTTACTATTGTGCAGCCAATCTTTAGCTTTATACTAGCAAATGTTACATTAATGTTCATGATCAAATTGACATCTCTCATCTGAAGATTTATATTTTGCCTTAAGTTACACTTTGCTGACAAAGTTATGCACAATAGCCAAAACGTGCCTGAGCTAGAAGGTTATGATATGCATTTTACGTCTTATGGATCAAATGCTAGAGACAATCTTTTTAGTTAAAGTAGTCTTCAATAGGTGATATTCACTAATTTTATGACCAAAGTGATGCAATTAAGACCGGGGTGGGCAAAAGGGCCTCTGAGAGCCAGATCTGGCCTGCCAAACTGTTTTTTCCCTGTTTGCGGATGCCCTGCCACTCCCCCATCTCCAGGACAATCAGGGCCTGGGGATAGGGAAGCATGCAAAGTCTCCTCCCCCGCCAGTGGCACATGGTGCTTAGAGTTAATTGCCAGGGTTGACTAAGCACTGTGTACCCCTTGCAGGGCAGGGGCAGGGAGTGAGAGACTTTCCATGCTTTTCCCAAACCCAGGCCTTGATTGGCCTGAGGGTGGGAGGAGCATGTGAAATCTCCTGCCACCAGGGGCACAGGTGCCTAGAGGGAACCACCAATAGAACAGCTGGCAGTTCTCTCTGGGGACGATGGGAAGGGGACAAAGACTTCACACGCTGCTCCTCCACCACCAGGCCAATCAGGGTCTGTGGGCAGAAAAGCACAGAAGTGTCCTGGCCCCTGCCCCTTCTGCAGTCCAGGGCCACTTCAAAAATTTCTGAAGTGGCCCCCTTGCTAAAATTATTTCCCACCCCTGAATTAAGTTGATCCAAAGCATTAAATGTAGCAAAGTTTTGAAAGTCCTTTTTCTCTGGACTTTAATATTGTTTCAGATCCTAATTTCTTTTGATTTGAATAGCAGGTCACTTCAAAATTAAATGTTTTTAAATAAGATTGAAAAGATATGACCTTTGAGGAAAAAATGATATGAGTAAGCTGTTGACTGCTGTTGGACATTAAAGTGTTAGCAGATTTCTGATTTCCTGATTTCTGAAGTAGTAATCATCATGACTCAGAACAATCCTAATATTCAGAAAATTCCATAAAGAAAAAGTTAAGATTGTATGTCTTTGAAACCATATAGTGAATCTGTATGTTTCATCATCAGAACACAATCTTAATGAAGTTTTTACCTCTCCCAATTACTTTATTGAACTGTATTATAGTTACATAAAAATTCTGAAAGATCCAAAAGATAAAACATACTGTCAACCGCTTTATAATTTGATTTCTCTGCTCTTTACCTCACAGAAGACTGGAAATATTTTATTTCAACAGTTTTGTCCTTTCTAATTTCCCAAATATTGGGGTATTATTTTCCTCCTACACAAAGCTTTTTCAGCTCTGCATGCTTTATTCATTTTGGTATCACTATCACAGATACTGACACAGAACATGAAATAAATGTTGTTAGTTAATTTATGCTCTATCTGCTGGCTGGCTACTGCTGAAAAGAAAAGGATAATATAAACCCAGTTTTTAAAACTGTCTGCTTAAACTGCACAAAAGAATGGGCACTTGTGCACTGACATGACATCTGTATATGGAAATACATGATTTGCACATGTAACTTAGCTAAAAGTTTTGAAAAACTGGACTTTAGGGTTCCCCCCACCCCTAATCATTTCTTGCACTCAAGCACTTTAAAAAACAGAATGTAGTATACTAAACCAATTTTAAGGTAGATCAATTTTGTAACCTAATTTACGTGATAGTTTATGCCTTTTTAAAATATAACTATTTTATTCTGGCTTTCCTGTGATTTCATTTGTTGACATTTCTTCCAAAATAGAAGACTGACAACTGAAAGTAGGGCGGAGATGAACTGCTTATTTTATATGCTATGTGTTTATATAACTTTAATATGTCCACATCATATTAAGTATCTCAGAGGTTTTCTGGTATGAACTCTAAAAAGAAAAATGCTTGCATTTTAAAATGCTTAATATTAGATCTCATTTGGTTTAACAATCCGCTAAATGCACTGAATGATGTGACAACAAATTATAGTTACTACTGAATATTTCTAATGGCAAGCAAAATCTACAGGAATAATAGGTATGAATAATTTACAAAACTGGATGTATTTTCTTTTCCGCTAGAGCAAAAACAGAATAAGCCAATTAACTTCACTGTTAATTATCACAAGACTTTAGTTATGTTTATAGCAAGGTTAGTATCTTACAGCACACAATGTATTGTATACCTCATGTTCCAATTACAAAATAGAGATTTCAGAAGACTACTGTTAGTAACTATGATTGCAAATATTCTGTCAAAAATATTTTCATGAAAAGAGTAACAGTATCCTCTTCCTTTTAAAACTGTGCTATCTTGATATCTGTCTTAACAACGTATGACAGGATTACTCAAGCTTGTCCAAATTTAAAAACAGTAATGCTTCACATGAAAATATAATTACTAAATTCACAAATGAAACATTGCTCTAATACACTGCTACATTAAAACAATATATTACTTATTCATATGTTGAGGCACTTTTGCTCATATATTTACAATGCTTGTAAAATTAACATCCTAATCACTTACTTGACTGCAGTTCTCTCTGTGTAATTAGGCCTTCAAACAATACCAGAGTACTCCTGACAATTTAATGAACTGGGTGAGAAATAAAATATTTAAAATAACAGTAGTTTGATTCTTGTTTGTATCAGAGTAGGATATATAATCCAAATTCTTCATTTAAATAACACCAATTTGAGGTTGTATTTTGCTACATACAAACAATGTAATAGTCATTAAATGTAGACAATATCTGATTGGGAAAGTAAGCAATTTTCCTCTTTTTCTTCTAAGACTGGAAAAAAGCAACATCAACACAAATGTACTGATGAATTCAGCAATCTGCAAGATGCTCTGGAATGCAAGGTCAAAGACATCTTTCTAGTTAATCCTGAACAGTTTAACTTTCAATTTAGTTGGCAACATCCACTGCTATAAATGCAGCTAGGTTTGTTTCAGTAACCCTTTTTATAAAAAGGATAACATACCCGCGAGCTAATTCTTCTAAAGTAAAACCAGTTTAGAACGGTCGACACACATGCTCTCTTCCTCCCCATATTTTCAGGAGTTTGGGTGTCATATACAGCGCTATGAAGGTTCTAATTTATGGATTTTTGACTTCTTCTCTTCATTTCAAACTAGCTAAATGTTACATCATAAAGACACCTCTCCAATAACAATTTTAAATGCTTATTACATCTTGAGGTAGACTGATTTCCAAACAAAGATCTTCTACACTTTGATTCTTTCATGATTGACTTCCTTTTGGATCCTCCTCCTTGGAAAAATCTTTCGTTTAAGTGCAATTAGCTAAAAGATTAAAAAAAATAATATTTAGTTTTCACACATCAAAAGGGGAATGGGTCATCAAACTTTTTCCCCGCAAATCCCATAAAACATGATCATTTCATAGCAATTAAGTATAAAAGACTATCCCCTCCCATTTTTTCACTACACAAGAGGAAGGGAGCAATTATTCAAACTTCCTTCCATTAGACTTATGTGTGTCTATTAGATTCATAAATGTTCCAGTGTTATTGACCCAGACAATATGAATAAATATTCTCCAACCCTGATTATAAAGGAAGATATAGCCGAAAGAGAACCTACTGCAGAAGGTTATACAACTGAAGTTAGAGCTATTTGGGCATATATGCAGAATGAATGAGCAAAAAGTTAAGACCCTGGTATTCGGCATATTGGATGGTCCAAATAGGAGAGAGGCAGACCCCACAGATAATGGGTAGATGATATAGTAGATTGGTGCGGAGCTAGTCTACAGAAACTAAGCCACTCCGCACTGGACAGGGAAAGATGGAAGGAAATAGTGAGGGAGGTATCAGATACCAACGGGCGTTGAGCCCATGGTTGTTGTTGATGATGATGATGATGAAGAACTCTGATAAATATACTAAATCTGAAAGTGAATATTTTGACTAGCTTAATAAAATAACTGGACACAATTCAAGAGGATTCTCACAAAGGTGTCTGTTCTTAAATATAAAATTTCAAGCTTTATTCCTTGCACTAAATCAATTTATTATACCTTCCATGGTTTTAAACAGCAGACGTTTCCAGTATTTAAAAACCTACAAATTGGAAGCGTTGGGGAGTGGCTGCACACCTAAGAGCTGTGTGAATTTTTTTATAGGACTAAATAAAAATATAATGGGTAAGCTTTAAAAAAAAA